CCACCACGCGAGCCCACGCACAACCGCGACGGCTAACGAGGAGAGCCTCGCCCAGAGAGACCTGGGGAGGGGAAACACCACGTGCCCTAGACATCACAATAAATGACAAGCCGCAGACACCGCGCAACTCGAGGCAGAATAAGCACTGACGAAAAACCACGCGAGGAAGACAATAATGAAATGCGACTCTCGACGCCGGCGTTTCTGCACCGCAGACAATAAGGCAGCCGCAGGCCCCTGGCCCCGGGCCCCTTTTCGCAGAAAACACCTGAAGAGTTCAGCACAGCGCTCCTCGTCGCTTCCGTGCAGCACCGCGTTATGCGTCCTGCACCATGCAAACACACCGAGGGCCCGCAGAGCGGCGGCGGCAGGGCCACCTTGCGGAGGGCCATCGACGCGCCACTGTCGAGAGGACAGGAAATGAAGAGGAAATCGCTTTAAGGCCGCGGCAACCTCAGGACGCTACATGCGCAGATGCTGCCAGCTGAATCCATGGTACACAGGACAATGGCAGTGGTGCTTCAGCGAGTCGACGGCTCGGCCGCACCCCGTGACGCATCGCCTGGCGCCTTGAAACCTGGGGGCCTTCATCCACCCGTTCACGTTCGAACGCAAGACCACAGAGAGCACCCGCGGGGGAGCCAACAGCTGGATACTCTGCATGTTGAATACTAGCTTGCGGCACTCGCGGCCGGGAAGAACATCGAAGTGCCAGTTGTCGAGGCGGCGCCGGAACACGCGCTCCACCCCCGCTGCACGGGGCATAAGTGCCGCCATGCCGACGCGAGACTGCCAACCCTCCCGGCGCCCCGCTTCGGATGCCGGGTCGAGGAGCGCCTGGGCGACCGCCCCCGCGGCAGCGAACTCCAGCAGCGCGGACTCGAGGGAGAAGAGGAAAGACGAGGCAGCCCAGTCATACCGCGACTCCAGGCGGGCGGCGCTGCCAACTGCCTACATGGTGGCCCACAGGGCCGCTGAGCGCGGCAAAATGCGCAGACCTCCAGAGCGATGAGTCTCGTGAACCGCCACGCGAACTTTGGCAACGCCGGCGATGCTCACGATGCCAACAAAATCGCGAGGATAACCAAGAGAGCGCAACGACTTGAGGATGTCGGGCGAGAACCAATTCATAGGTCCTGGGGGTAGCTTCTGAACAATCCGCTTCTCCACCTCAGCGAACGCGTCGGGGACGGGGTCCAACTGCACTACGAAGGCGGCCACCGAAGCGATGAAAATTTGTCGCGCCTCCACGGCGCGCACCACGCCGGCCCCAGCGCCTCTCCAGACCGAAGCCCGCTCTTCCAACTTCCTGAAAACGCCGCTCCACAAATTGGCGCCCCTCACAGGCCCTCCATAGAATCCCAAGTATTGCACCGAGTCGGCGATTTCCAGGGCGCCCCAGACAGGACAGCAGCGCGAAGGTGGGCGCGAATTGCGGAGTGGCTGAAAGCCCCAAGCGGCACCAATCATGTCTTGCCGAGGTTGATCTCCAGGCCGGACACGCGGGCACACCCCGAGAACGCGCGATCGAAGGGGGCCAGGTGCCTCTGCGGCACCGGGCCCACCGGGGCCGCGTCGTCGACGCAAGCCCGCAAAGTCATGGATGGGACGTCGCGGCGCAGACGTCCGAGCAACATGTCGGCGGCGACCGCGAACAACAGGGAAGAGGTGGGGCGCCCTCGTCGGACGCCACGGCGAACCCCGATCCCTGGGCAAGTGGCGCCATCCAAGACACTGTCGCAGAATTCGCCCTGACGCAACAGGTCGATGCAGCTCCGGATCCAAGCTGGCCAGATGAGGGACTCGAACACCCGCTCGAGGACGGAGCGGACGACGGAGGGGAAGGCGGCGGCGAAGTCGAAAATATAGCGCCAGCCTCGTCAGACTCGCAAGCGGCCAAGACCGGGGCTTCCTCAATGTCGACCAGGTTGGACAATATGGAACGCCTGTTGATGAGCCCCCTCTGGATGTCCAGCACTCCGGGCCCCGCCGCGGGCTCGATCAGCAGCCGCGCGGCATTCGTTGGCAGCCCGTCGTCCAATTTCGCGACGTTGATCGGGCGCGCGCCGGCAGGGTCGCAACGCCCTTCCCCATGTCGGCCCCGCGCTCGAAGGTTCCCAATAGGAGGCCGGCGTTGAAATCGCCGGCAAATGCCCGCACGAGGGCAACGCCGTCGGTGGACGAGAGGGGCTGGAAGGCGACGAATAGGATGCTGGCCGAGAGCGCAGCATTGCGACGCCATGCCAGGAAAGTGATTCCGCCCAGGCCTGGGGGAGGATTGCCGGACGCGTCGACGGCCTCGCGCGCGCGCCGACGAGAAAGGCGAAAGCTGGACTGGCCAAGCGGGGCCGAATAGGCCAAGGGCCAAGGGGCCACTGTCCGCGCCATGCTCCGCCCCCTTCCGCAGCAGGGCTTCATCGATCACCTTGTCCGCGAAGATCTCTCTCCAACGGGGGCGCAAGGCGGCTGCCTTCGCATCGGGGCGCGCGACGACCTCGCCGTCAGGCTGCAAGGCCGCCGGGGCGCCGCCCGCGCGGCCCAGCGCCAACCGGCAAATAAAGAGAGCGCTGCGCCGCGCGCATGCGCGGCCTGGAATTCGCCCCCGCTCGCGAGCTCGACGCGGGATCGGCCCAGCTCGTCGATGGCGCGCTCGCGAGCGAGTTGAACGGCGCGCAGACGAGCGCATCGGAGGTGGCGCGACACACTGCCATCGACGCGGCAGGGGTCGTCGGCGACTTCCCGAGGACAAGGGTAGCGTAGAAGGCAAGACGAGACCACATTGAGGCGGCCCGCCCCCGCAGCGCGAATAAATTCCATGGCGGCCCCCAGGCGGCCAACCGCATTGACGGCCGGCCCCTGCGCGCCGCGCTCCTTCTCGATGCGAGCGGCAATTGTCCGCATAGCAGTCCCATAATGCCGCGGGCGCCCCAGCGCATTGGCATTCGGAGACCCCGCCACAGATGCGCGGCACTCCAGCGCCACTCGGCGAGTAAACGCTGCAGTTGCCAGGACTGAGGCAGCCAGCGGGCGAACATCATCATCGCCATGTCGCGGAGTACACCGAGCGAGGAAAACCGCTCGATGGCGGGGCGGACCTTGGCGCCACCCCAATGCCGAGCAGCGCGCGCGCCTGTCAAGCTGGAAGGGCCAAAATGCAACTGGCGCAGATATGGTCGAGCCGAAACCGGACAGAGAAGACGCGCGCGCGAAGATCAAAGTAGGAGTGCATCGCGGGTCTCCTGGATGGCGGGGGCCCGCGAGGATCTCCATCGGCAGGGGCGCGACGACTGCCGGCGCGCGCAGACGACGACGATGTCCAGCGCGCCGAGGGGGGCCGCGTAAACAGAGCTTCGCAACACGGCCTCTCAAAACATGGATCCAGCGAAGCCGCCCCGTGAACTGTCGAAGAAATGGGCGTCGGACAACGACCCCAACCCCGACCTGCCCAGTCGAGGCCCACTCGGGCCACCAAGCTGCCGTGCCGGGAAGGGCGCGCCGAGTGGAGTTGCTCGTCTCGGAACCTTTTCGCCTCGGTGATCAAGCACATGTCCGACTTCAGCATCAGCTTGTGAATGTAGGGACTCTTGGCCTCGAAACGATGGACGTCCGCAGCAAAAAGCCTGGGCGCACCATGTCGACACAGGGAAATCCCCCGCGCACAGGCCACGACGATCAGCTGCAAGGGCGGGCGTCGGAAAGCGCGTCAGCGGCGGCGGAAGGAGCCGGGCAGCGGGCGCGGCACCAACGACGCGGAGTAGCCGGAGGCGGCGGTAAACCTAAACTGGGAGGTCGATAGCGGCGCGGACAAACAGCCGCGCGGGGACAATCTCGTCGGCGGAGAGTAGCAGACGTGGAAGAAGGTGAGCAGCATGCCCACCAGGAGCAGGACACGGCGAAGAACGAGGGAACCGTGGAGGCGTAGCAGAAGACCGAGAGGTTTAAGAAAACGCAAAAAGGATCACCGAATAGAGTGAGGGCTGGAGGGAGCCGACGGCTGGCGGTCTGACCACGACGGCGCCTAAGGCGCGGGGCCGTCTACGCAGGTGCGGAAGACGACGAACACGGCGAAACCCGAGTAGCCCAATGTGTCAATGCAATAAATTCCGAAGTCAACTCCAGGCCTGCGCCCCAGGAGTGGTGCCGGTCGGCGTCACGGGCACGGGGGGCGCCCATCCCCGCGCCCCTGGGCCGCTTCATGGCGCGAGGCCCAGCTCCAACAAGCCATTGCCAACCATGATGCGGACGAGGTCTTGGCCGACCCGGATGGCCATATTGCGCGGGGCGGCGCGCAGGGTGAAAAAGTCAGCCTTGTTCTTGACCATCACCTCGATGACCCAACCAGCGGCGGGAAGCTGGCCACGGTCCACCGCGACGCACTCCCAGGCAGGCCTCGAGGTCGTCGGGGTCGGGGGCGAGGGGCAACTGGAGACCCGTCGACGAGATCGCATGCTGAATCAGCCTGTTCAGCACCTCGCTGTCCTGGAACCACATTTCGCCCTGTACCCTGATCTCGGCGAGGTAGTCTGAGATGAAGCGGGACTTGCCTGCACGGCGCTTGGCGACAGCAGTGTGTGGAGCCAGGGCAGCGGGGGCGGCGATGACTCAGCCGCCGAATTGCGAGGGGCGGCGTTTCAGCCGCGTCGCGGCTTTGGCGGCGCCCTGCAACCAAACCTTGCCCATGGTGGCCGTCCAGGAGTCCACCGATGCGTCAGATGCCAATAGGAATCTTGTCGGACTCAAGACGGACATCTGCGAGCATAGGGGCAATAGTGGTGGAAAACTCCTTGTCCGTTGCACTCGAGGCGGAAAGCGTCGGAGACGGCTGCCAACCCTTTGAGGCCGAAGAAGCTGAAGCCTGGAAGATGCGCACGGCGCAGCTCGGTGAGCGTAGCGACGATGTCGAAGTGCGCGAGGTGGCTCGGGGAAGATCATGTCCAACGAAATGCGAGGCGTCTCCTCGGAGCTCAAAGAGCTCTTGCGGCGAGCACGAGGGACCGCAC